TTCTCAAGCAGAAAGCAGCTAATCACTGGGGTTCAGCCAGCCTGCAGAAAGGGGTGCTTGCATCTGAAAGCTGCAAATGATCCTGTGATTGCCTTGGAACTCAGGATAGAGGTTTAAACTCTGCTTACTTCATTTAGCCCATTTTCTGTAATTTCAGTGAGAATCTACTGAAATCATAGCTTGGCTTTATTCTGCCTTGATACTCATCCCTTCTGGACTTTCCTTTTTGTGTCATTGTTGTGACTCCGAGCAGACAAAATTGCCTGTGAATTGGTACCCCCTCATTTGGAAAGGGGGGAGCAAAGGCAGGTGAAATAAGCCCTGGAAGAGGCTGCCCAGGGCAGTGGTGGAGTCCCCATCCCTAGAGGGATTAGAAAGACCTGGAGGTGTGCTGCTGAGGGACACAGGTTAGTGGTGGACTTGGCAGTGCTGGAATAATGGTTGGACTTGATGATTTTAAAGGTCTTTTCCAACCAGAATGATTTCATGATTCTCTGAATTACTAAAGTAATTGTAGTTTATAGGTGGCAGATCTGAGAGGAGATTTTTCATTGCTCTATTCTAAACTTTAAGTGCAAAGAAAGAAACATTTGCAGTCTGAAGAGGAGGGAAACTTCCCAGAATTAATCCAAGCTGCTTCTGTTGCTTGTGTACTTTGCTGATTGGTTGTGTCTCACTTGTCCTCCCAGAGGAACAGGCAGTTTTCCTTTTTGGATTTTAATTCTTCAACCTAAGGTCTTAAATCTCCACACATCCTTGGTTTTCAAACTCCCTGATTTCATGAGGTGTCTGAATAATTCCACTGTTGCCAAACTGTATCCCCCACATGATGTGAATTGTGTCTGTCGTTGGCCATAATCCCCTGGGTTTTTTCTGCACTAATTAAGTGTGGCTGAAAGGTGCTGCTGGGAGTGTGGTGCCTTAGAGACACGACCCTGATCCTGCAGGAATCAGGGGAACCAGGATTTCACTCTGTAAGTTTAGTGTGCTGACTTCATGATGAAATCAGCATTGTGTGTCTCAAGTGAAGAAAAAAAAACCCATGGTACTTAGAGTGCTTTATGTGCTTCAGATTGTTTTCCATACCTTTAGCTAATTACAGAAACAGATGATATTTACAGGGGACTCCTGGCTCTAATTGACCTTCATCTTTTCCTGCACCACTTCCCAGCCTCTCCTTGCATTTTCCTATTGTTTCCTCTTCATCATTCCACACCATTTCTCAGACAGTCCTTTTCTCTTGCTTGACACCATCCTACTCTAGAAGCCAGCATTCCCAACTCCTCTTCAGCCCAATTTTGTTGGCAATTTTGGTACTCATGGTGTGGACAGACATATCTCCTCCAAAGCCCAATCTTCAGGCCTTCCTCCAGTTACAGCATGATTGCTCTTTTCCTTTTCTATCACCATCAGTTCTTGAGCAGGAGTTTTTCTTTCTGTCTTGTGTAACAAATTGCTTTTCAGAAGTAGCAACACAGTCCACCTCTAAGTGTGTCTATCTTATTTTCATTTGAGCCTTTGATATGCATGTGTTGGGGAGGAATTGCCTAAACTGAGAGTCTCCTGTCCAGAGGTTAGAGGGAACCCATGTTTAGAGTTCACCAGTGTTCCCATGGCTACTGGGACAGGTACATCACGGGAGGGGGAACACTTCTGGCATTTAACAGCCTTCCCGGGTGATTTATGGTTTCACATAAGCTTTTCCTAAACTGAGAGGTTTTCTAGGGTTGGCACCTCTTTGCTTGTCTCCATGCCCTGTTAGTTCTGTGTTCAGTGGCCCGTGGTTATTAAAATTCTTATCAATAGAGGAGTTTCTGAGCAAGGTTCTTATTTTCTGGGATCGTGCATACCTTCTGAACTCCTCAGCTTAACCAAAGGAACAGGGGTTTTTTTTATGCTTAATATATTTTCTAAAAGAAATGTGTGGAGTTCAGGTAATATTTGCCTTCAATTACAGTAATTAAGCTGTCAGGACTTGAAGTCACCAAGGGAATGAGAAAATCCTTTCCTGGTTGGCCAGGGGGTGATTGGTGCTCTGGTCACAAGTACATTTTAGATCTCGGGGTGGGGAGGGAAACTGCTCTGGCAGGCATCTGCAGCAGAAAACCTGGGAGAATGTTGGTCATTTTGCAAGAAAAGGTGTCCAAATCCTGCTGGGGGTAGAAGGGAAAGGAAAGGAAGTGACCTGTTTAACTCTGCTCTAGCAGGGCATCTATTTTTGATACACTGCAGTGCTGCCTGCTTGGGCTGGGAGGTAGTTAACAAGTGAGGGACTGCAGACGTAGCTCAGTCCAGATATTCTGTGGACTCTGGCTTATCAACTTCTCCAGCTCCTCTTGCAGATGTCACCTGTGTGTATTGATGTGTGTAGATACGTGTCTGAGCAGCTTGACCTAGTTGGGGATGTCCCTGCTTATTGCAGGGGGGTTGGACTAGATGGCCTTTGGAGGTCCCTTCCAGCCCATTCTATGATTCTGTGATGGGTTTTTCCCCCAGGTTCAACATCAGTATTAGGGGTTGACCTGCTGGAAAGCAGCTCCATGGAGAAAGGCCTGGGAGTGCTGGTGGACAACAGGTTCCCCATGAGCCAGCAATGGGCCTTGATGGCCAAGGAGACCAGTAGTGTCCTGGGGTGTGCTAAGAAGAGTGTGGCCAGCAGGTCAAGGGACATTCTTCTCCCCCTCTGCTCTGCCCTAGTGAGGCCACATCTGGAATTATGGGTCCAGTTCTGGGCTCCCCAGTTCAAGAGAGACAAGGAACCACTGGAGTCCAGTGGAGACTGTGAAGCTGCTGAGGGGCTGGAGCATCTCTGTGCCAGGCCAGGCTGAGAGCCCTGGGGCTGCTGAGCTGGAGAAGAGAAGCCTCAGAGGGGATCTGAGCAGTGCTGAGCAAGAGCTAAAGGGCCCCGGGGGGCAAGAGGCTGGGGCCAGACTCTGCTCAGTGGTGCCAG